AAACATCTAAAACATGCAGGATTGTGGCCCTCGAGGACCAGAGTTCGACACCCCTGCTGTACTGAATTATCATTAGACATAGCTAATTTAACATGTTACTCAATGAAAAATCCCTTCTTTGTAAATTGGGAAGTGCTACATATAGTAGTAGTCGTACATATTTTAAACACAAGTTAAAAAATAAAAATAGCATTAAACACTAGCCCCGTGCTTAGTTCACAAAAACAGACCTTAAAATCCATTTAAACAGCTTAGTAAATATAGTAAATATGATGTGTATAAGCTACCAGCTGCATGATGCAGTCTTATGTGAGGCTCTGCTGTCCAGCTGGACTACAGGTCCTTTGTAGTCATGTAATATTCAAATTGTGACAGCTTCATTTTAACTTGTGTCTTGCATTTTTCATACAGCTCTAGGATGGTAACCGGAGAAAAGTAGGTGTGTAATGGTGTTGCATAACATTATCATTTGGATGGTCTAAATCAGCGGTCCCCAACCACTGGGCCACAGACCGGTACCGGGCCATGGGTCATTTGGTACCGGGCTGCACAGAAAGAATAAAACACTTAATTGTTTTTTTTGTTTTTTTTCCAGTGGAGTCTGCAGGGTGTTTTATTTTGAAAAATGACTAGCTTGGCTTCCCATCACTTCCGTCTGTGCTTGTTTCTCTGTCAGTTTTTGAAGCTGTCAGACTAATTGCTGCTGAAACAAAACAAAAAGCGAGAGACTCGATACTGAGACAGAAGAAAAAGTAAAGACATATTTAGTCATAGAAAGTAATTGTGTTTGTTTATGAAACTTTTTAATAGAAAAAAATTATTAAGTGTGCAATGACCGGTCGGTAGAAAAGTTTCTTGCTTGAAACCGGTTCGTGGTGCAAAAAAGTTTGGGGCCGCTGGTCTAAAATAGTTGTGTTGCCCCGTGCAGTGGCAACAACTGCAAGACACTGCTGAAGGAGGAGTTGCTGTTGGTCATCATCATCCTTTTTGTAGCCACAAGAGTTTCATTCAGCTGATGTTGCCTTTTAGTTTTGCAACCAAGTCTTCCTTAATGTTTCTTTCTGTTCCTCACTGATTTTGTTGTGCACGCGTGGAGCCAGCACATCAACAAACTCAGTGTCTTGTTTAAAGAAAAAAACAAACCAAAAAAACCCTCCATCCAAAACCTTTAAATTGGAGTGTTTTTTGTCCAACTCATTCCGCCAAGTTGTGTATACTTACAGAGGCCTACAGAGGCCTACAGAGGCGACCCATCACAGTGACGATAGAACATCTCAACGTTTCAAGTCCAGATGACCTGCTAGTTTGAAATACTGTCAGTTTTAGGAGGTGGAGCGTTCTTGAATGCTCCAGTAGAGGGCGCTGTCAGAGCAGCCACATCTCACCGCTGCCTCACAACATGACAAATAACATCAAATTCTAATCGGACTGACACAGTTCGGTTTCAGTTCTGTTTGTGTGTCTCTGTTGATTCATTTTCATATATTAATTAAAGTGATTGTTTAGAAGGTAGATAATTACATAATTAATTTTAAAACTGGTGAAAGAAAAACAGTCAACAGTCATGGAATTTGTACACAAGTAGTAAAATGAGTAAAACATGAAAACCACTGCTACAGTCCGTCGATACACAATTAAATAGTTTTGTGCTACAGCATGGGCCTCTTCAGAGGAGGAAAAAGAGGGACAGAAGGAAGAACTCCTGGTTTAGACCCTCGGGGATGGGGTTGAGTTGGATCAGGAAATAGAGCTGCAACAATTAACTGTATTCAGTATCGTTTATTGGTGTAGGAGGAGAGAAACTGGAGAGAGTTTAGCAAAAGAAAGGATCAGATGCTTCCAAAATATACATTAAATAAATGCACAGTAGATCAGGGTCTATGTGTTCTGCACATGAACATTGTCCTTGTCGTGTCCTCTGTCCTCTGGGCTGCATGCGGATGTCCTCAAAGAGGTCCACGCAGAAGCTCATGGACTTGGGGGGGATGATGTCCTGTGAATCCTCACATACTCGTGGATGTGAACATTTTAACACAGACCTCTCAACTTTAAATCCAGGTCCAGCCAGCTGTCATATGGATTGTGTTGTGCATCTCCTCACTTCCAGTTTATCAACGAGATGATTAAAGTGAAACAGGTCATGAACCCAGTAAAATGATCTCAGTAAGTTTCTTGAAAATTGCAAAATGCTGACTGAGAAACTTTTACAGAAGTCCAATGAAATAATTTTTGCAGGAACTTTTTTTAGTTGAGTCTCTTTTTATAAAAATAATTGTGAAATTTGACTTACGAGTCAACATTTGGCCCTCATTATAGGAAATATCCACATCTGTCGTGTCTGTAGTAAAAACACAGAGAAATAAATGATGCTTCATAACGACCTAGCCCTCATGTCTAACACGAAAGATGCTTTCATTAGCAGCCCTGTTTGATTAATCAGCATGAGGATTAATCAGGCGAGCTTAATTAATGCTGACAACCTGTAGGTACCAAATGAAAAGAAGAGTTGCTGCTTTGTTGAACTACAAAAACACACATTTCACTCACTTTATGACAGCGATGCTACAGAGTAATGTTGTTTGACTCACAGTGTTCAAACCAACAGACAAAAGTTTCAGTGCTGCCAATAAGAAACGAACATTATTTCATGAACATCCACAGATGGTAAAGTTGAAGAAATGACAAAATGATTGGAGGAGGAAGATGTAGAAAAGCTGACGGGAAAGCGAGCGTCATACCTGGTCAGTCAGGATATTAGGAATATGGAGGGAATGGAAAGAATGAGATGATTTGTCTCTGTGTGTTTATGTGTGTGTCTGTGTGTAAGTGTGTGTGTGTGTCTGTGTGTATATGTGTGTGTGTGGGTGTGTTTTCATGCGTGCATGCAGAAAATAATGTAGGTTGAGTGAAGGCTTCTGATTGAAGAAGTTTAATTGAAGGCAGCTTGAGTGCAGACAGCTTTGTGATCCCTGGTTTGTTGGTAAATGTTTTAGTTGTCGCCAGTGTTTCTAAAACAGCACTTTAATGTTTAATGGAAAGTGTTAGTGAAACGATTTTCAAGATCTGTTGTTCTTTTTTGAGGGGGACTGATGTCCATTCTCCTTAGCTTTGTTTTGAAGTCATTCCTGCGTGCTTTGGTGTGAAGCTTTACTGGATAATACATGTTTGGAGGAAATGTTCTCGTCCTCCAGGATGTCACATTGCTTTTACTGCATTCACGACTCTCTTCAATAACAAGGACTCACAGCAGAGAAACGTCCACACAGCATGAACCTGCCTTTACTGGGCACCATGGCTGGATTCAGCCCCATCTTACTGTCAGTTCTCTTTAAGCTGAGTTTTGGTCTCAGAACTAGCCCGACTGTTATGTTTGTTTTTAAAGCTGTCAGGCTCAACTCACCCAGACGGTAGCTGCTGTATACACACTGTCTTCAGTCTCAGGGCTCTAATCTCACTTTGTTCTATTGCTTGGGTAACGTGTGATTCTCTGTGTGAGATGAAGCGATAACCCCTTGAACGTGTTATTGTTGTGTGTGTCGGATGCTTCTGTTATGTCGGCATAGGTTTAATAGCAGCTTCTCTCCTGCTCTGCACAGATAAAAGCTCAGCTATCAGTCCTGTCCACAGCAGGCTGTCCTACACCCAGTGGAGTCCTTTTGTCCTTGGAAATAAGGCAATATTGAGCTCCTGGAAGAAGACGATTAATGCTTGCTGAAAGAAGAACTTAAAAAAATGTTAAAAGAAAAAAAAAGTAAACTAGGAAATAGCATCATTTTAACTGAGAAATGCATTCAATGTGTGATGGGCAGTTTTGTATGATTAAAAAGTACTTTGTACAAGTGATACACACTTCTGTCTACTGCTTTCACTTTGAGCATTTCTGCTCACCAGAAGGTTAAACTTTGTGATTATTGCCCACATGAATAACAGAACAAAATGTCCATTCTCACCGACGACAATTACAAAGTCTCTATAAATAGCAAAATCATCAGTCTTCTAAAGTATTTGTTACTCAGTAGTGAACTAGTGGTTTCACACTTCAAATAAACTACATCAAACAGGCAAAAGTGTGAACAAGCCTCCATCATTTTTATCAGAAACAATATGTTTAACAGGGAGAAGGAGGGGCAGGAAAAAATGGTTATGTCAGCAGGGAAAAAGACAAGGGAGGACCGCCTTGCTTTTCCTGTTTCCTTCTCTCTCCTCCCCCTCTTCTTGCAGTCAGTGTGGTAAAGAAAAAGGAAGTCAGTAGGAGAGTGGAAGAAGGACCGACAGCTGTGACAGTGATGGGGCAAGATAAAAAGGGAAATAGACTGGCATAGAGACAAGAAGTGAACCAGAAAAAAACTTTGTTACTCCTACTGAGAAAAAAATTAAGGGAGACAGATGCCAAAAAGAGTAAAGTAGAAGAGAAAGGAAAGTGAGTGATTAAAAACTATATCAACTCAGAGTCTACTTGGAGCGAAGACTGAGCACGTGTTTCTGGAAGTGGGTCGTTCCATCGCTAGGAAACCTTGACCTCGACCACCTCAGCTACCATGTACAGTGGATATGGAGGTATGAACAATTGTGGTGCAGCTCAGTGAGACTGCCTCAGCTGTAATTATTAACTTTCTGTTTGTCAGGATGAACTTCCAGTTGCTGGTTAACGGATATGTAACTTATTATGATGTGATGGTCAGAGAGTTCACTCCAAACACCAAAAAAATACCTAAACCCAGGATTTGTTTGGAGCAAAACGTCTTGTCATATCACAAGTCCGATACACACTCGTGTGTCTTACACACTGCGTCACATCGGCTCACTTTCTCTTTACCACCCAAACTGATAGGAATCTTTATCAGCATTCCTAAAAGGAAAGCAAATAAGCGCATTCCACAAAACAGTGAATTAGGACACAGCAAACACATGCTGCGTTTGACCGTGTTCAGTGTGGTTTTTGGGTTCACCACCACTGAATAGCATTTATGTGGTAGATGATATCCCTTTAGCAGCTTAGGTAGACTGCCCTTCTGTTTCAGTCCTTGTAGATCTGTGTTTGACTCCGCTGACCACCTGAGCAGTGTGTAGGTGTCAGAAGCATACCCTTGGACTGATTTCAGTCCTACCTCTGATGGTTTGGTTGTGGCAAGTACAGATAACAAGTCAAAGTTGCTGTGTGGGGTTCCTCGAGGTTCAGTGTGCAGCCTAGTTTTTATATTTTCATGGCCTACCTCTAGGGTACTCTAAAGCACACAACACAAGTTTCCATTTTTTGTTGGCGATACCCATAGTAACAATTTTAATGACATTTTTTCCTTTTAACACGTCCTTGAAAAATGGCTGTCTGTTACCAATAAGTAATCCAGAAACCACAGGGAAACCTGGTTGTCACGCCCACCATATCACTCAGCAGCGAAGAAATGTAATTTTATTTGACAGCAGCCTTAGCTACACTGGTCACACTGTCCTTTTTCTATCAACTCAGGAGAATCTTAAGGATCAGGCCACCATATACCTAGAAACTGTTTCATCCTCAGTTAGTTTAACTTTCTGTCCTCGGTTTTAAAAGAGTCCATATTGTGCCTCTTGGAGTTTCTCATTTATCTTAAATGTGTTATATGTTTATTATATGCTTCTTTTGCATGTAAAAAGTTACTTCTCCCACAGATAACACTACTTCTTACATGCTTAAAGCACCATGTTTGAAGTCCATGCTGCTTATTTCATACTTATCTACATCACCATGTAACAATTTGCATAATGATGGCCTAGCCTAGTTTGGCTTCAGAATACCAATGAGCAGCTAATATTTCCTCAGTAGAGCTGTTTCTGCCGCGGCTACATTCCACCTGCACTCAGATCTTACCATATTGATCCCCTTTTGTTGGACCATCCGACCAATCAGAGCGGACTGGGCTTTTCAGGTGGGGGTCCTTAAAGAGACAGGAGCTCAAATAGAGCGTTTCAGACAGAGGTACTGCAGCAACGTAGTGTGAGAATTTTACGTTAAAAAGAAAAGACAAAATAATTCTAGTAGACATCAAAAATAAAAGTTAAAATCCTTGCTTTGCTCTTTCACTGTTGAACTCTTGAACCAGTCTTTTGTCCCATTTTAATTATTGTGTTAATATTTTTCCTGTAGTGCATTTTAATTCTCAATCTGTTATTGTTTTGGTTTCTTTTTTTTTTTTTCTTGTGTGTTTAATTTCTGGGAAGCAAGTTATACATTTTTTCTTTCATTTACCAAACTTTAAATCGAAATATGATGCTCACTAGAATAATCTTTTCAGCTTCATGATGTGATTTTTCACACACAATGGTTAGCTCGTCTCGGAGCAAGTGTGGCTCTAAAGTAACGCAGTTGGGTTATTCCTATGACTCAGTAGCTATAGACTTAAACTGCACCAGTCTTTTCCTGACCCTGCCCTTCTTGCAGGATGTTACTCCCTCCTGGGTTTCCTTATCCTAATACATTGATGTGTGAGAGAGAAGTGCCTGGAGTTCTGAAACGAAACTGTATCTACAGTATGTGGGGGTATGAGAGGACAGTGTATGAAACAGTGGTGTTGTAAGGAAAGGAAACTATTAACATGAGATATAAAGCATTAAATGGACCCCCCCCACAATCACAATCATGTTAAATCTAAATCATTAAATCATCGTTAAATCAAAACATCACTAAATAGAACCATTGTGAAGCAGCTTCAGTGGCTCAAAAAGCAGCGCATGATGCCACGTTCTAAAGAGGTTTGAGAACAGACGTGAAACAAAGTCACTGAAACTCACAGTCTCAAAGAGTTACAAAGCCATTACTAAGGCTCTGGGACTCCAGAGAACCACAGTGAAAGACATTATCCCCAAATGGAGAAAACATGGAACAGTGGAGAACCTTCTCAGGAGTGGCCGGCAGGCTCCTCTGACATTTGCAAAAAAGAATATCTGGATAAGCCCCAGGACTTTTGGGATAACATCCAGTGGACTGATGAGTCAAAGGTGGAACTTTTTGGAAGACGTGTCCGGTTACATCTGGCATAAAGCTAATAGTGCATTCCACAAGAACAACATGATACCAGCAGTGAAACATGGTGGAGGTAGTGTGATGGTTTGAGGACCTGGAGGACTTGAATCTGCTCTCCACCAGAAAATCCTCCTGGAGAATATCCACCCAACAGTCCATGACCTAAAGCTCAACACCAATGGGTTCTGCAGCAGGACAATGACCCAAAGCACACAAGCAAGTCCACCTCTGAATGGCTCAAAAAGAACAAAATGAAGGTTTGGGAGTGGCCGAGTCAAAGTCCAAACTTGAATCCAGCTGAGATGCTGTGGCAAGACCTAAAAGAGCAGTTCATGCTCAATAATCTAATGTGGCAGAAATAAAACTGTTCTCCAGTGAAGAGTGAGCCAATGTTTCTCTATGGACACCAGGATCTTTCTGCATGGAGTTTGCATGTTCTCCCCGTGCAGCAAGGGTTCTCTCTGGGTTTTCCGGCTTCCTGTGATAGACTGGTTACCTGTCCAGGTGAACCTGCGATAGGCTCCAGCCCCCCGCGACCCTAGTGAGGATTAAGCGGTGTATAGATAATGGATGGATGTATATATATATATATGTAGGTGTATATAATCTTTTGACATTTAAGTGATGTTGCACAGAGGTGTACTCACTTCTGTTCTGTACTGCATATAAGCCCGTTCGAGCTGTCATCCACTGCAACTGGATTATTGAAACAGCACCCAAAGATTCCTCAAAGAGATCCCCTGTGTGTCATTCCCATCTAATTTCTGCTACTAAAATAATAGCATGCAGTGTGTTTAGCTTGACCATCTGTGCTGTCCTACATGAAGGCCTGCATATGCTTAGTTAGATATACATTTAACTCTTTTAGCAGTACATCAAAGCTTATCATTCTCTTATTGAGGAAATGATTCTGTCCTTTGTGTTTAAATCATTTCTATCATTAGGCCCCAGGGTAGAAGTATAAGTTTCAAACGTTATCAATCATCCTGTGAGGACCCTGTATAGGGGCAGCAATAATAGCAATACTGATGTGGCTAGTATTAACTGTGTCTTACTCCAAACAACTAACACCACCATCCTCAGATCATTCCAGCAGTGAGCCAAAAAACTGCGTAAGGGAGACATGGACAAAATGATGTTGTGTTGCTTTGGTGTGTGTTTGGTTCCAGTGCAGAGTTTTTCCAGAATGATCTGGGAGAGAGTGGTTAGAAAGCTTCAAACAATAGGTGTGGTGTCACACACTCCACGAGCACAGAGGCTGGAGGGCACAGAGCCACAGTCCCCATGTTTATATGAGAACATCAATAGGAGAGGAGATGGTGTGACTGGAATCTGTTGTTATCATTGGGCAGGACTGTACCACTGTTTGGATCAGGTAGGGAACACAAACGCGATACAGGGGGACAGACATTTTCAGTTTGATGGGTTTAACTGGCCAACGTGTGGATGAACCCTTTGAAGTTTGAATGGAGCTGATGGGTCATTAAACTGATTAGCTCATGTAAGTCTAATAATAAAGCTGGAGATTACAGGAGACAGGACAGCAGGATGTAACTGAGGGAGAAATGTGCCGACTACCACTGACCTGTCTGAGCTTGGAGTCTGACAGAGACTTGGAGCCCCATCAAGGTTGGTGTTTTATAAAGGTTTAGAGGTGTGATGGCTGTCGATGATCTACACTTTGGTACCTACCTGATTTCTAAGATTATTTTTCAGTACATTTTTGATAAAGCAAGGAAAACAAGAGATGTGTAAGATTACATTTTTCCTTTTTTGTTTTAGTTTTTGTTTTGAAACATAGAAACATCATTTAATTAATGTTGGCTCATTGGCCAACGTTCTCATTGTGAGATGACGTCTTTTAGGTAACAGAGAACAAACCAGTTTAAGTGTGTTTTGTTAATGATTCATTTTTATTACAAGATTCAAACCTGCATGTTATCAGCAGAATATTCTTAAGATATCTATTTAGACAAGTGTAGTGTATTTGTAATCGTTTATTGTGAACAAAAGTTTCCATATACTTGTAAAGACCATGTAGATCATGGCAGAGTTTCCAGTGACTCCTATAACACTGAATTTTCTATGATGGAATCATTGGAACACATGTGTCTTTGTCAGTCAATCAAATCTTGCATTTATTATATTATAGGTCCTCTGGACGTGACAAAATCTCTGTTACACTGTGGTAGATTTGGCAAGATTCACACCATACTTACATAGTGTGACTCACCAGATGTAGGTTCCAGGTAAAGGTCTGGTAAATGCGTCTGCATCACATCCATGTGTGTGATGCCACCGATAAAACTAAATATGCCAAGAACCAGGTTTAGCAAGTAAATCATGCTCACATACCTGCTGTAGTTCGAGAATGATGTACTTATTTTTGTGACTCCTTGATACCTCAGAAAACATTTTTTCAAAAGTCCCTTCATGTGTCACTTATTCGCCACTGGCTCCAATCACAGGCTCATACTGGAACTCACTTATATATGCAGTTTCTGTTCATACAATATATTTATAGTGTATAAATTTTACATAGAGACTTCTTTTTTAAAGATTATTCTTTTTTGAATTTTTGTTTTAATTGGACAGTAACAGTCAGAAAGTCAGAAAATACTGAGAAGGAAGATGGGGGAATGATACGCAGTAAAGGTCCACACTGGAAGTTTGAAGGGTGTACGGCTACAGGGTCCTGGGTTTCGATCTCAGTCAAGCGTCTTTCTGTGTAGAGTTTGCATGTTTTTCCTGTGCAGCGTGGGTTCTCTCCGGGTTCTCCGGCTTCCTCCCACAGTCCAAAAACATGCTGAGGTTAACTGGTGATTCTAAATTGTCCGTCGGTGTGAATGTGAGTGTGCTTGGTTGCTCTGCCCTGTGGTGGACCGTTGACCTGTCCAGGCTGTGTCTTGCCTTCAGTCTCACTCCTGACTTCCTCATCGAGCCAGTCAGGTCACACTTGGCTGATGAGTATTACTGAGCTTTCTGCTGCTGCCCTGCAAGCAGAAAATCAGATCATCTAACTCACTGCTGGCAACATGTGTTATGTGCCCTAACCACTTGGGCATCAGGTCGCCCCCATACAGACATGTTGCAGAGCAGAAACTGCCATCTGTAGCTAGACTTAGTCCTGAGTTATCACTTAGTGTGTAGACTTCCTTGTAGAGATAGTGAACTGCTGTGACAGCACAACATGGTGATTTTTCAGGAAATTAAAGAGGAAAGTGGTCGAATGTGATGAGGGATGACTCATGTAACTTTTCCACTTGCACTGTTTGTGCACACTGCACGTCTGGCTGGTTGAGATTCTCTCTCTGAAATGTGTTTTCTTTCCTTTTCTCGCTCCCCTTCAGCAACTATGTCTTTCACAATACTTAAACTAGGTTAAGTCAACAAATGGTTGACCACAAAGTCCTGCACACACACTTGATATTCATTGGAAGTGTAAATGTCAGTATGTTTACCATTTTCAATAAGAAATACATTCATTGTTTGTTTTTACTCAGAGTACAAAAGTGAATATCAAACGTTGTACTATCAGTGTAGTTCTGTGATGATAATCTGTCAAGTACTCTTTCCATTCCTCGTGATTTAGTTGAGCTCCACCACCTTTTCTCCTCAGCAAAATGACTGCAGCCCTCAGGAATATCTCCCTTTGTTAAATTTCCTGTCAGAAGAGGCTGTTGAATCTGATTTCCTGTAGGAGTGAACCATTTCCTGTGCTGTAGGAGGGGGTCTTTGGCAGTCGCTTTGTAAAGGTCCTTCAGCTGTTTTAAGAAACAGGATACAGGACACTGGATGGGCCATAGCAGGAAAACACTGCTTCAGCTGACAGAAGTTATCCGTTGACTTAAGCCACAATAACAAAACTGCTTCAGGCCTCAGACTTCAAATGCTGTTTAAAGGCCACAGAAACAAAATGAATCAGCCCAACAATGAGTCTAAGCATTAAAAAGATGGTAACGGAATAATGCAGTGTGCTGTTTCAGGAGACCACTGGGGCGTTCAGTGTGTCACAATAACTGATGGCGTAGTCTTGAATGACAGGTCTGTGTGACGTCAAGGCTTCCCTTCACTCACCACAACAACAGTACTTACTGTAACAGATTTACATTCATTTCAGTTCCATTTGATTTGAACTATATAACGCCAAATTTATCTTGTCATCTCTATGCATGTGCTAACACAACTAGCATTGTATCTAACACATGAGAAGGGTCACAACAGGATTGTTTTTTGTCTTTTCTCACTTTTCATGCTTTCCTACTGCCTTCACTTGTTGATGTGTTTCTCAGTTTTCTGATGTACTTCAGTACATCCACTGCTTTTCTTTTTGCTTGCATGTCGGTGAGTTTGCTCACATTTACACACAATTTAGATAATACCGTGTTAAAGTAGTGCTACGTTGATGTTAATTGCTGCTGCAATGGTTAAAGATTCTGCAAACACAATAATATTCACAAGAACACCTGCATCAATCCTTTTTTTTCACTCTGAATCCAAGTCAGATATTCAAACATGGGAGCGTCCCTTCATTCCAGTGCTCTTCAATTCCCACTGAAACTTGTGGTGCATAGCACCAAACACAATCTCTTCCCATGCTCAAGAAATTATTAGGAGGATATTCAGGTGCAGGACAGATTTACTACCAGGTGGAAATGAAGTATGACATACATGACGAAAATGTTTTTTCTTGTGCTCTACGCAGGGAGTCCATCCCGAACTCTGTCCACCATGTCGCTGTCTGTTCGCCCAGTCAGACGCCTCACTTCCAGATCCATCACTAGGAGCCAGAGCTTCGCTGGAGTCAACACCTACGACAAGCCGTACAGGTACATCGAACATGTTGTAGGAAAGTACACACCTTTCAGGACGCACTGTCAGGTGGAGCTGAAAAGACTGCGTGTGCGTGTGCGTGTGTGTGTGTGTGTGTGTGTGTGTGTGCATTAGGTCACCTCTGTTCATTGTAGTAATTACCAAAATATGGCAACAGGTAGCAAAGTAACAACGAAAACACAATTTGTTATACCACAGGTTGCTGTAGTTAGAGCAATTATTCAACATGCACAGAATTTGAGGTATTGAAAACCTACATAAACTATGGCTGTCTTGCATATGGGTGGTCTTTCTCCGATCAAATACTGCTCGTAGTCAACCAGACACTCAAGTCTAACAATCCTACACTCTGCACTCGTCCAGTACGTCCTTGGTTCGGTTGGACACGTTGAGTGCTTTAATAGTTTGGGCCATCAGCTAACTCTCTAATCTACAAACACATGTAGTTTGTGTTGATGCTATAAAGAGTTCCCCTTAATGTCACATATCATGAACTTTTCGCATCAGAACTCAATACCAATGTATCTCAGTATAAAAAGGCACTCCTTAAATACAACGTAATTAGGTTTAAAAAAGGCATGTTTTTTATAATCCCCCTGCATTGCTGCTGGACTGTGAACTGCCTGACCTCTCTCATTTGTTTCAGTCTTGAGTTAAACTAAGTCTGCCTGGTCCAGAACTGAGTGTACAATAACAGCTATATTGGTTTTATATATAACAAGATGAAGTGATTTGTTGTTATTGCCAAAATAGTGGCTTTAAAAAAAAAAGAAAAAAAGTTTTGATATCTCAGATATACCATTATAACGTGCAATATGTATCACGTTTCAATTTATCTATAATGTGAAAAGATTCTTGTCATAATAATAGATAGACAGTCAGACAGTCAGACAGACAGAATTCCTGAGTGTGAATTCTGGAGGTATGAGTCTTATGTGATGTGATGTCAAACAGGTTATTGTCCAGGATATTTGAAAATGATGTTCATCAGATGTTTGTGTTTTTACAGGAGCCTCTCAGTGTTCCCCACTCCAGGTCTCAACAGGAAGCCCAGCAGAGCCAGCAGGATGTTCACGATGTCCACCAAGTCCAACCCGCCACCCAAAACTCCTCAACCGGAGAGACTGAACGAAGTGTACGAGGCGCTGAAGAAAGGCCTTCAGTGAGTACACTGCTGCTCCCCACACAGAGAGCAGCTCCACTTTTATTTTGAAGGATCATGTGTTTGACAGCAGTGACTCCTGTATCCTACATGTTATTTTTGCAGTTGTCAAGTGCAACGTGTTCTTTCTTCGTATTACTACTATAATATGCGACACCTGGCTTGATTTAGTGAAATAATGGTGCAAAGGCGGGCTGCAAGGTGGCGCAGTTGGTTAGCACTGTTGCCTCGCAGCAAGAAGGTCGCCGGTCCGCGGTGAGGACACCCGGGATCTTTCTCTGTGGAGTTTGCATGTTCTCCCCGTGCAGCGTGGGTTCTCTCCGGGTTCTCCGGCTTCCTCCCACAAGTCCAAAAACATGTTGAGGTTAACTGGTGATTCCAAATTGTCCGTAGGTGTGGTGGTCTGTCTCTAAGTGTAGCCCTGTGATAGACTGGTGACCTGTCCAGGGTGTCTCCTGCCTTCACCCTAAGTCAGCTGGGATGGACTCCAGCCCCCTGCGACCCTAGTGAGGATTAAGCGGTGTATAGATAATGGATGGATGGATGAATGGTGTAGCCCTGCTATATGTCAGCACTAAAAAATGTTGACAGGTAATCCCAAATTTGGCAGAGAAACAATTAAACTCAAGTAAGTTTGCACTGGAAGAGTGAATAAGAAGTGTTTGTTTGATGCTAAAATGGGGCTTAAAGATGATAAGAATTGATCAGCTGAGCTTTCTACAACACTGACAGTGAAAAATCCTGTTTTTTAGCCTTTCTGCTCATCTTATCAAACTAAATAGTTTTTTTTTTCATCATAGCTTTTTAAATTAAAAAATAGGAAGCCTATTTTCTGAAGTCTTTTCTGTCAGAAGTGATGGATGCTGTGTATGCACCGAAGTAAACAATGTAAGGTTTTGCAAAGGGCAGAGTCAAAATGTCTTTCTTTACATGGTTACATATTACAAGGGTACCACTTACTTATAGTACTATGTGTGTGTGTGTGTCCTCAGGTCTTACCTTCAGGTTCACCAGATGGATTTGGACAGCCTCAGTAGACAGATGAAGGAGTCCAAGAGGAACTCCAGACTGGTATGTTGTGATGTTTCACTGTTTGGTTCAGAAGTACAAGTGAAAAGTAAAAGCTGCTCACCCTTTGAACCCGTACCCTATCACATCACATTGTTCCATAATTTCCTTAAAGGTGTCAGATACTAATGTTTCTGTGTTTTCTGCCTCTTTAAGGGTTTCCTGTATGAACTGGACAAGGTGAGCTACTGGGAATTCTTCCTTTGTTCCCACAACTTAAAAGGGAGTTTATATTGTTTCTATTGGAAAAGGGTCTTTATATCTACTATTGAGTCATTTTTTTAAAGCAATGGTTATATTTTAGTGAGACACTTTTCCCCTCCTCTTATCTTTACTACTGGGTTTTTAATTTAAAACACTTGTGGACATATATGTGTGTTTATGATGTGGCTTGCATCACAGTCAGGTCAGCCCACGTGGGTGTTATTAGTAGTCACCAGTCTTCTTTTTGGCTGGTCTCAGCCTTTAGCTAGGTTTGAATGGACATATTGTGAAAACAGTTCAGTCAGAGTGATGAGTAGCAGACTAGTAACTAGTGACAATTAAGTCAATGACGAGTACAAAAACATGTGACTCTGCTTTCCTCCAACAGCAAGTGAAGGTGACTGAGAGGTACATAAGACGACTGGAGTTTCATCTTAGCAAGGTAAGACCAGCACAATCCCCTGACATTTCACTAGGACATGGACAAAATAGAAAAGAAAAAAAAAACTTATAATTCAAACATTGGTCATGGAGTAAAAATCATTTTTGTTGATAGTAATTGTTGGCAGAGCCTAGTGGTTATTTTTTAAGCAGCAGGCCAGTGTGGGTGAGTTGATGTATTTGGTAAGTCTCTGATTAGTACAGAATACAGGCAGTTCTTTTTATGTGGGGCCATGATGCAGACAGGAAGCTAGCCCGTAGGTTCAAAATTTAAAATGTTCTGGTGTTCACAGATCATTGTATAGCCACGTTTATACAGTTAGACCAATTGGAAATCACAGGTGTTCTTAACTTTGCTTCAGTCATCACGTTTTCTAACTTTCATATCAGTGACTACAGGTGTAATGACTTGTTTTACCTCAAGGCCGGTATTTTCTTAATAGTCTGTCTAAAGTTGTTTTGAATTGTTCATAGGAAGAAATAGTCAATTTGTCCTCTTAGAAATTATGCAGTTATTTGGAGATTTAAAACAATTTAAAACTTGACATATCAGTAATTTTGCACAGGGACTTACTCACAACTGTTGTATGCTGTACATCTGTAGCCAAGTCACAACTTTTATCAGGTATTTTTGAAGTCAACATTTTCAACTTTTATTTTTATTTATTTTACCAGATAAGTTCATTAAGAACAGGTGCTCATTCTATACATCTAAATAAAATCAGCAATAATCTCAAAAACAACAAAGTCCTATTTCAGTTTGCTATGGCAAAACACAAACATAGCACACATTGTTAGAGTTATAGAAAAATCTCACAGTCGTGACCTTTGTATTAGATCAGGATGAGTCCCCAACAACCAGAACTAAAAACACGACTGTAGCTTCATCACGTTCACCAAATTTGTGTTGAATAGTAAAAGATTAAACAACAGAACAAATATATTGGTACTACTAGTCCTTCTTGTAAATAAATACAATTACTTGCTCTCTGTTAAAAACCTGACTACAGACAGACAAATTGTGAGACGACTTTTGTAGATTTCAGTTTGCATTGACAACTTATTTTACACATTGACAAATCTCACTTTGGACACACAGATTGAGATACAGACAGGCAACTCTCCATACGCATGGACAAATAGCTTTGCTACAATAATGCTCCCATTACTGAGCTGCTCTTAATGGATACAGCAAGTGAGGCACCAGCCTCTCTTTAGCAATTTTTTGGATGATTCATGATAATGTTGAACTTGATCGCTTCATTATTTGATCAATTGTAAGCTCACAGGTTCCCTTTATACCAGCGGCCCCCAACCACCAGCCTGCGGACTGGTACTGGGCCGTGGGTCATTTGGTACCGGGCCACACAGAAAGAGGGTTTTTATTTTGAAATGTCTTGCTGTTCTAATTTCCTGTCACAGGACTGTCAGTTTTCCCACCTGGCCGTTAAACAGTCGTTAATCAAACTGCTGCCGAAATGAATAACACACAAACGTCTCTGGAGCTTCTTTGAGAAGAGGGAGAGACTCAATACTCAGACAAAAGAAAAAGTAAATACACATTTAGCAATAAAAAGTAATTCATTTATGACACTTTGCAATAGAAAAAAAGGTTATTTGTTATGCGACCAGTCCGTAGGCTGGAGCCCGCTGCTTTATATTCTGTATATAACATTAGGTTTTGACGTCCTTCAACATAAAATTACACATTATATGAACACTACCTGCTGCAATTCAAGCTTTTTAATCAGTTCAACATAAAATGCATTTATAAGTATCTCTGAGAATGTTCTGTGATTACAGCACAAGTAGCCAAGTGGTGTGAAAAACACACAATATAATCAGTGCTTCCTGAGACACTCACTGACTTACTGTCCAGAACCAGTGTAGTTCTGACTTGTTTTGCTTGTGAAAAAAGATGAAATGGATGACCTTGTCCCCTCTTGCCCCAGATTGAGGAGCT